CTCCAAGGCTGTCACTCTTCACAGGAGCAAAGTGCAAACCAAAGCCCCTATGAGTTGGAATCCACTTGAGGGCAGTGGGTGGGTGGTTCTTTTCTTAGATTTCTTACGGAAGTCTTGTCTTCTAGGCCACACCTTGTTCTCTCTGAGCCTGCATTGTTCCCTCCCAGCTTGGGGCTGACTCCCTTAGGAGACCAGGGTGTCCAGGGTCCTGCCTGTTCTGTCCTCAGCCTCTCCCCAGGGCCTGGATTCCAGAGGTGGCTCTTGGAGGGGAGGCTGGTAGAGGTTATAAACGTCCCCTCCCTCCGTGCCCTTGAGCTCAGCTGCTCAGCACCCCTTTGGTGGCCTTTCTGGCGGCTTGGCCAGGCCCTGGAAGGGGGTCATGGGGAGAAGACAGGATGACATGGCATCATGGTCCCTGCAGTCCGGAGTGCCACACTACAGTGTGTGGGGCTAACGGCAGTTAGGACTGACCGGCATGTGGGCTCTGCCGGAGAAGGAACCCGAAAGGTGGGCTGTGGGCAGAGCTCCAGCCCTTCGCTGATGTCCTCGGACCTGGAACTGCTGACCAGTGCCCCGGGAAGAAGTTTGAGTCCACGGAGACCCATTGCTGGGGCCCCAGGTCTTCAGCAGGGGTGACACCAGCTTCTGGAAGCGGTCAGAGTTGTTGTCACACCCAGGAGACCCCCAGGGCTGCCGGGGCGGGTGAAGCCCCTGTGGGCTCTGCAGACCTGAACTGGCCCCCGGCCTGCAGGGGGAGTGCAGGAAGCTTCCAGAGTGGGGACTGCGCTTCGCGCCTTCAGATGGCAGTGTAGACATGAGCCTGCCCGTGAGCCCTGTTCCGAGGCCCCCTGGCACATGGTACGGAAACAAACCCCCTTGGGGCACACTCTGAGCCCCCAGCATGTGGTGTGGACGTGCACCCCCCCTCCCCATGGGCACCACTCTGAACCAATGTGGCATGCGGTGTGGACGTTTCTCTCCTGGTGAGCACCCGCTCAGAGCCCCCTGTGGCATGTGATGTGGACATGCACCCCCCCCCCGTAGGAATTGCTCCAAGCCCCCTGGGACGTGGTGTGCACCCACGCCTGCCCGCTGGCCCTGCTGCCAGCCCTCTGGTGTGCATGCCGTCTGGGCTGACCACTCTGGTTCGGATGGTGGGGCTGTTGGCACTGTCCTTTATCTGTCTCTTCGTTTAAGAAGGACGAGAAGGGCCCCACTCTCTGGACAGAGGATGTGGTAGCTGCAAGCCACATGCCCTGTGGTGAAGGGGAAGTAAATGAGTGTTGGGTCCACAGAGGCCTGGGCGCCGTGAGGGGTGGCTGGTGTTATCCCATCACCAGGAGCATGCCTCTCACAGAGAGACGGAATGAGTCCTTCTGGAACATGACTCCAGGGAAGCGACCACAAAAGCTCCCTCATCAGCCTGTGTTCTGACCTGTCTTTGTCCAGGCAGCTGTCCCGGACGGATGTAGCTGGCCCTTGCAAACCCCCACAGACGCTTGCAGCCCTGGCCCCGGCTGTGGGAATATATATATTTTTAGAAACAAAAAGTCATCTTGTTCTCCCTCACTCTCCGGGATCTCCTGCATGGATCCCCCTCTGAGTGGCCGACTGTGGTAGCCGGGCACCATCTAGTTCTTCTGGTCTCATGGTCATGTAGGCTGAGGATTGCTTGGTGTACCACCAGTCCCCTGGACTAATTGTTTCCATGCATCTTTGGTTTTCTTTATTCTTCTTTGCTCTGGACGAGGAGAGACCCATCATTGCACCGAGATGGCCGCTTGCAAGCTTTTCAGACCCCCTCACTACTCGCCACGGCAGGATGTGGCACGGTGTTTTATGTAGTGTGTTACCTGGCAGTGGGAATATTGACAGCAGGCGCTGGCCGAACAGTTGGTTGCCAGCGTTGCTGCTTAACGCCTCCTGAGCCCCGTGGGCTGCTCACGGTGGCAGGGCTGGGCCAGGCCGAGCGGTGTGGAGGGCAGCTTCTGAGGGCACCGGGCTGGGCCCCAGTCCGGCCCCCAATGTCACCAGCGTGTGCTTTGTTGGCTGCGAGCCCTCTTCCCCTGTGAGGCATACCATTCATCATGCTGTGCGATGCTGTCAAGAGAGGGACAGCCCTTGGTGGCGTGGGAGGCGGGGATGCTTGGCTGCTCCCTGGAAGGTTGGCGGTTTGAATCCCCCCAGGGGTGCTGCGAGTGAAAGGCCTGGTGGTCTATTTCTATAAAACTAGCCGTTGAAAACCCTGTGGAGCAGGTTGGGTTAATGGTTACTGTGGTCTGGGTGAGAGTTCACAGACCAAGTTCATTTTCCAGACAGCAGTTCATACACGTTTTGTTTCATGACATTGACTGCAATCCCCACCCTGTAACAGGTCTCTTCCCACTTTCTCCCCATGGTCACTTCTTCCCTGTGTCCTTCCTCCCATACATTCCAATCCCTGGAGCTGTCTCCCTGTGCAACAAACACTGCCCTTCTGTTCTCCCACGATTGATCGCTCCAAGGAGTATATTTACCTGATGTGAATGTTCACCCCATTTGCCTGTCTGTTGTTTGGCTGGAAGCCACAGGAGTGGGTTCAATTCCAGACCTGAAGGGCAACTAGGGGCCATAGTCTCGGGGGTCTCACCAGGCTCTATCAGATCAGCAAACCCGGTCTTTTTTTGTCACGATTTTCAGTTTTGTTCCACGTTGTTCTCCCGCTCCATCCAGGGTCTCCTGTACCGATCCCCTCCGCGTGGTTGGTAGTGGGAGCTGGGCACCATCTAGTTCTTTCTGGCCTTGTCATACAGGCTGAAGTTTGCATGGTCCGCCAGGCCCTTGGACTAACTTGTGTGGGACAGTTTTGCACGGGGCTTCCATGAGTTGGCATCGATGTGGCAGCCACCGGTTTGGTTTGTAGGTTCAGGAAGGAGGGCCGTGCTTCCGGTTAGCATTGTAAGATGTGCAGCTGGTTGGATCCTGTTTTGCGTCTGGTAACCGTGAGGCAATGTGTATCCGAGGATGGAGGAGATAATATCTGTGTCCGCAGCTGTGTAAATTAAAAGCTGTGGCGGTTGCCTCCCGTGGACCTGCCGGCCAGGGTGCGATGAAGTGGTGTACCGTACACGCACGCTGTGCACGGCTGCTAGCCTGCCTTTATGCGGCCCTAACCTCGTCTTCCCTGCTTTCCTGTTGTCATTGCAGCTGAGAGGGAACGGGAGGGGGTGTCGGCTGCTCCTGGCTGGCGAGTGGTTATATTGTTTGTTTTTTTTTAAAGGACTAAAGTAGAAGATGAGAAAATTGTGTCTGTTTCCAAGCTGGAGTTTTTCAAACTGTTTGTTTTGGGAACAGAGCCTGACTCTCCAGATGACATCGTACATGTCCTGGTGGCACACAAAACAAACGGAAGACAAGCCAGGATAGCGAAGCCTGTCCGCACCCTGAGCCTGCCCCGTAGCCTCGCCAGGGCCCGAGGGTCCGGCGTGAGGCTGGGGGTCTCGCTGGACTGGGTCCGGCATCCTCCTCCTCCCGTGGCCTGTCTGGTGGCCAGGTTGACCGACTCACCGTGTGTTTGCTCAGGCTTTTCTCCTGGTCTCCGTGAGCTGTCCCAGCGTTGGTGACCAAGGCCAGCTAGCAGATGCCATGGAGCCACTCTTTTTTTTTTTAAATCGTGCTTTGGGTGCAAATGTACGAAACAGATTTGTTTTACATTCAAGAGTTCATTCACATTTGGTTTCACGCCCCGATTACCATCCCCGACCATAAAAAGCTCTCCTCCCGTCCTCCCTGCCAGTGCCTCCTCCCTGTGCCCTTCTTCACCATGCGCTTCTGTCTGTCCGGCTTTCCCTGTGTGAGTGCTGCCCCTCTGATGCCCCATAGCCGATTGGGGTACGTCTACCTAGAGTAGGTGGGTGCATCGCCCTGAGGCAGGTGTTCCGCGTGTAGGTCTTTCTGCTGTTGGGCTGAGAGTCACTCCACTGAAGTGAGTCCATTTCTAGCACCGAAAGGTAACCTGGTGCTGTAGTCTCAGGGGTTCCACCAGACCCTGTCTGATCAGTAATTCTGGTCATTTTTGTGTTTTTGAATTTTGTTCCACGTTTTTCCTCCCACTCTGTCCAGGATCTCCAGTTTTGATCCCTTTCCGAGTGGTTGGCATTGGCAGCCGGGCACTGTCTAGTTCTGGTCTCGGGGTCGTGGAGGCTGAGATCCTCATGGTCCATCATATCTTTGCATTAATTGTTCTGTGGAGGTACTCTTGCTGGCAGTGGGGCCCTGGGGTCCTCTCGTAGGTGGGGTTGGCTGGGCGGACAACTTAGAAACAAGTGTCGGTCCTGGGAACAACTGGTTGGACCACACAGAAGGCAGTGGACGTGGTGTGGGGGGAGGGGTGCCACCAGCTGAGCAGCCCGTGTTTGTAAGCGCTCGTCCTAACGACAGCCTTTTGGAAGCGGTGAGGTCGGGGCCCTCGGTAGGGCAAATTCTGAGTGTACTTGGCGGTCAGCCCAAAGCTAAGAAGTTCAAGTCTAACCAGAGGCCCCCTGGAAAAAAGGCCTGGCAATGCATTCTGAAAAACCAGCCCCCCAAACCCTGTGGGGTGTATAGTTCTACCCTGACGCCCGTGGGAGTGCCTGGCGTCAACTCGACAGTGGCTCTAGTGTTTTGAGGCTGAGGCTGCTGGCCTTGTGTTGTCAAACCGGCACAGGCAGGCCGAGGTCGTCGCATTTGATGCCAAATGTGCGGCCCACAGCTCTCATGCCCCCTGCCCTGGGCAGAGCCCAGCATACAGCCCTTTCATGCCCGGCACCTGTGGCCAGGTGACCAGGTGCCGGCCCATCTGTGTTTCTTAGCTGTGATAAGCTGGTACAATGACTTACAAACCCCAGGGATAAAGCTCTCTTTAGCTGGAAAGAAGCACACACGGTGTGGTCTGGGAGGGGTCCAGGCTGGGCTTCCGTGTCCCCAGGGGCCACCTTGCCCTCCAGACAGCAGACGCTCACCCTGTCCACCCAGGGAGCTCTGCTGGGCCCCATCTTCCAAGGCCTTTATCGGCCTCCCTGTGGCCTCGATGGATGCCGTCTGCTCCCACGGCCTGCTCAGCACCGAGCCCCACTCCCTGGCCTTGGTATAGTCCAGCTCTCAGGAACCGGGACCAGGGGCCATGTTCCTTGCACAGGGTTGTAAGCAGACTGCGTTCACAGCCAGACCCCCCCAGCGGGCGGGCCCACGTTGGATGAAAGGCTGGTTTTCTGGGGTGAGCATGGCTCTGGAATGTTGCAGGTGACCGTTAGGAGGGCAGGAGTTCTTGGAATGGGCCTCTGGCCGCCAGCCCCAGCGGCTGGTTGCCGCCGCCTCCCCGCCTTCTCTGCGAGGAATCTTGCGTCACAGCTCCGGGAAACGCCGAGCCTGAAACGTGGGCGTTGGTGTGGGCCCAGGGGGATGGGGCAGGTGCCACGCTGAGGCTGACCGCCCTCGGGCAGGTCACCAGAGAGACCAGAGGTGAAGCAGACGGGGACCCTCTGGGTTGTGACCCTGCATCTGGAGTGAACCAAGGCAGGCGGGCTCGGGCTTCCACCGGGCAGGGCCCCAGCCTTTGGGTGGGGCTGTGATTCTGTGCCCCGGCCAGGAGTTCAGAACTCCGGGAGTGGAGCTGCCTTCAGGGGACAGGGACCTTTCACACGGACGTGGGACTAGCAATCCCTGGGCGGTGCGGACTGTTAACCAAAAGGTGGGCTCCTGAGGCCACCCAGAGATAACTTGCAGGCAAGTCCTGGCTGACTAATTCTGCAGACTCAGAGCCCGGAAACCAGTGTGGGCATTGCCTTTGTGTTAATAGTGGTGGAATGTTCCGGAGAAGGGTAGCAAAGGTGGTCGCGCTACTTGCTGATTTTAATCTATGTCACTGAATTAATTGTGCAGTAAGTGTTGAAATCAGCTTATATGTATATGTATGGATCTTGGGGCACAGCTGTCCTCAGACCCCTTGGAATCGCCCCAAGGACCCCTGGTTTTGTTTCCACAGTCAAGAGAATTAGAAGGTGCCTCTAAAGAATGCCGGGCAGTTCACCTTCCCATAAACCCGCCTCGTTTTCCCGTAACAAGTAGATTCCTTTTAACTTTGCCACGTTCAGGCAACCTGGCCACGCCTGGTAATAGCAGAAGTAAACAGAAACCATGTCTGGTGAGCTCCCTGCTCCCCTGTGGGTTGTGGGAGGAAGCTTGTGGGTGGGTGCTCCAGGCCTCTTCTCTTCGGGCGGGGACGGGGGTGCTAATACACTTTGGCAAGGGCTGGCGCTAGTGGGGCCGGGTTTCCAACATCACGTTTCTGAAAAGCCACTTTGCATGTGACCTTTTTTCCGTCAGTCTGCACTTGTGGATGATTCTGAGTCACTCCATAGCCACTGGCATGTTTGTAAGTTCAGAGCCAGTAACCCCACTCAAGAAGTTCTTCAGGAAATAGGACTGCCCCCCTCCTTTTCTTTTTGAGTACTGTTATATGAAGTGGTTGATGGTATTTGTCACAGTGGAAAACTGGAAACAATAGGTAATAGACAAAACGGTTACGTGGGCTCGGCCAGCTCTTACGTGATCATCAAATGGTAATTAGAATTACTAAGCGGCAGCCTGGAGAACATCAGAGACACAGAATTGTATGCCATTTGTATCCATTGTAGGTGGTTGTGTATCCACCCTAAGACTTGTTGTATGTGCTCAGTCAGTTCCTACTCACAGCGCCCCTAGAGGACAGAGTGGAACTGCACCACAGGGTCTCGAAGGCTGTCAATCTTCAGGGAAGCAAAGCCCCACTCACACCCACTGCCTTGGAGTCTATTCTGACCCACAGCGCCCCTAGAGGACAGAGTGGAACTGCCCCAGAGGGTCTCCAAGGCTGTCAGTTTTCACAGAAGCAAAGCCCCAACCACACCCACTGCCTGGAGTCCATTCTGACCCACAGCGCCCCTAGAGGACAGAGTGGAACTGCACCAGAGGGTCTCCAAGGCTGTCAGTCTTCACGGAAGCAAAGCCCAAACCACACCCACTGCCGTGGAGTCTATTCCGACTCACAGCGCCCCTAGAGGACAGAGTGGAACTGCACCAGAGGGTCTCCAGGACTGTTGAGGTACACTTCAGAAATACCAGAGGTTTGAGTTTGGTTCCAGACCACTGCAATAAAGTGAGTATCACAGTGAATCGAGTTATATTTTCTTGGTTTCCCAGTGTGCATACAAGCTATGTACGCTATACTGTAATCTACAAGAAAGCTCTGGTGGCTTAGTGCCTAAGGCATCTGACTGCTAACCAGAAGGGTGGTGGTTCTAACCCACCAGCCACTTCTTGGAAGAAAGATTGGGCAATCTACTGCCTTAGTGATACCACCCTGGAAACCCAAGAAAGGGTCTCTATGAGTTGAATGGACAATGGCAGTGATTTTGGTGGGTTTTTTTTTTTTTTTTGGTAATTGACAAACAAGTCCTGTGGTACAGTGGTTAAGCACGCAGTTGCTAACCAGAAGGTTGGTGGTTCAAACTCACCAGGAGAAAGATAGGGCAGTTGGTGTCCATGAAGACTGACAGCCTTGGAATCAACTCCAGGGCAGTGGGTGTGGTTTGGGCTTTGCTTCCTGAAGACTGACAGCCTTGGAGACCCTGTGGGGCAGTTCCACTCTGTCCTCTAGGGGCGCTGTGAGTCGGAATAGACTCCACGGCAGTGGGTGTGGTTTGGGCTTTGCTTCCGTGAAGACTGACAGCCTTGGAGACTCTCTGGGGCAGTTCCACTCTGTCCTCTAGGGGCGCTGTGGGTCGGAGTTGACTCGCGCTGGGCTTTCTGGTTTGGGTTGGGGGTTGGAGGAGTATGTGGGAAAATGAGCCTAGAGGATTGCTGACTGGGCCGTGGGGAAACTTCTTTCTGGTTTGGGCCTTTGACTCTCGCTCCTGGGATTGAAATCAGAATTCTCAGCACAAGTGCTCTGGGCTCCTGGATTGACCACAGAGGGCCTGGCAGACGTGTGGCATGGCTTCACAGGGCCTCCACGGCCTGGGCTTTGGATCAGAGGCGCCTGGCCGGAGAGATGGTGATGAGCCCTGGTGCAGGGGCGCCCCCGGCCTCGCAGTGCCCCCTCCCCTCGCAGGCTCTGCCGTCGGCCACCTCTGCGAGGCTATCGCGGGCCAGCCGGCTGGGAGTGGACTGCCCCTGCAGGGGACAAGTGGGCGGGCGCCGTTCCAGGCCAGCTCCCGGGGCCCTCCCTTGTGCTGGGTCAAGGCTCCTTTGCAACAAGTAGTTCTTTGTATTCTCTTAGCAAGTTTTCCACGTGGTGGAAAGTGTTTCACATGAAAGTTAAATAGGGAATACACGGGAAGGGCTCTGCCTACGGGATTGTTGTGGGGACTGCAGGAAGGGTGGGGCTGAAGGCTGCTCCTGCGGGGCTCTTGGGCTGCGGGGCCATGGACCCGAGTAGGGGCTCCTGGGCTGTGGGGGTGTCCCATGGGCCCAAGTGGAGGCACCTGGGCTTTGGGGGGGCCATGGACCCGAGTGGAGGCTCCTGGGCTGTGGGGGTGTCCCATGGGCCCAAGTGGAGGCACCTGGGCTTTGGGGGGGCCATGGACCCGAGTGGAGGCTCCTGGGCTGTGGGGGTGTCCCATGGGCCCAAGTGGAGGCACCTGGGCTTTGGGGGGGCCATGGACCCGAGTGGAGGCTCCTGCGCTGTGGGGGTGTCCCATGGACCCGAGTTGGGGGTTCCTGGGCTGGGGGAGGGTGTCCCATGGACCTGAGTGGAGGCTCCTAGGCTTTGGGGTGTCCCTGGGCTCAAGTGGGGGCACCTGGGCTGTGGGACATTTGGTCCATAGGTTTGAGTGGGGGCTTCTGGGCTGTCAGGGCATCTATGGGCTTGAGTCGGGGCTCCTGCATTGTTGGGGGGGTGGTCCATGGGCTCCTGGGCTGTGGGGGGATGAAGGACTCGAGTGGGAGCTGTCTGCTTGGATTGGAGACAGCCTGGCACCGGACCCCACTGGAGGGAATGGCCCAGGCCACGGCACCTGCCTGAGGGTATGAAGTCTGGCCGGGGCAGCCGGAAGAGCTGGGACCAGCCCTGACCTTGTGCAGGGGGCCTTGCTTGGGGACTGTGGGTCATAGACCACTCAGCCCCTGACAGAGAAAGTTAGCTTGAAGCCCACAACACACCAAAGACCCTGTTGGTCGGCCCTGCTGACCCCTGGGCAGGGGTTGGGCCCTGACCTGCCCCTCGGGCCAGGCAGGCCCTGGTGGGGGTATGTGTGGGTAGTGGGGTCCTCTTGGGGCTGGGTAACCCCCAGGTGTACTCTTGCCCATAGTTGACCTCAGAGCTCCTGTCATTTCACATACCGTCCATTGGGGGTCAAGTGAGGATTCTAGAAGGTTCCATGGGCTCATGGTCAGTCTCATGGCACTTCCATCCTTCACTCCCCATGGGGGCGATGTTGTGTGAGCATTCTGAAGGGTTCCATGGGCCCTTGGTGGGTTCCTTAGAGCTCCCATCCTTAAACCCCACTAAGGTCATGTGAGCATTCCAGAAGGTACTATGGGCCCTTGGTGGGCTCCTCGGAGGTTCCATCCTTTACCTTCAAGGGGAGAGGGTCACATGAGCATTCCGGAAGGTTCCACGGGCCCTTGGAGGTCCCATCCTTTACCCCGGGGGGGGGGGGAAGGTCACGTGAGCATTCCGGAAGGTTCCATGGGCCCTTGCCCCAGGAGCTGAGTTCTCCACCCAATGAGAGTCAGCTTTCCCTGTGACAGGCGCACAGGTCCCCTTTAGACAACATTTGTGGGACTCCCAGCATTAGGACCGAGGGCGCTGGTAAAGCCACTCTCCATCCCGCCCAGCTCAGCTTCCGCCTGTTGTCAGGTGCCGTCTAGTGGGCTCCAGCTCACAGCGGCCCCACGTACCACAGAACGAAACACTGCCCGGTCCTGCGCCAGCCTCCCAGTCCTGGCTGTGCCCGAGCCCGTCGTGGCAGCCACTGTGCCAGTCCACCTCGTTGAGGGCCTTCCCCTTTCTCGCTGACCCGCCACTTTACCAGGCATGACACCCTTCTCCAGGGACTGGTGCCTTCTGATGGCATGGCCCCTCCTGGCCTCAGGGCGACAGTGAGGAGTTCTGCTTGTCTACTTGGGGGTGTAGGTAGGTCCTGCGAGGGGTCGGGGGGTGGCGTGGCCTGGTGAAAGGGGGGGTGCCAGGTGGCCTGCTGACTTCCTGCCACAGCTGGAGGTCTGGGTGTCTGACAGGGTGACCTGGTTGGTGCACATCCAGGGCCCATCCCGCAGCCCCCACCCCATGGCTGCGGGCGGTGGGCTGGGCCCCGTATGGGCCTGCTTTTGCTGTCCTGAAAGGACCCGCCTGGAGAGTGAGCGGCTGCGGGCCGCTGTGAGGACAGCCTGTTCACTCCTTTCCTCCTGAGGTCTCGGCCGGGCTCTGCGTTAAAGTGGTGTTCACAGAGCGCCAGCTGAAGCTCGCGGAGACGGCTGAGCTCTCGTCGCAGAGCCACCTTGATGATGGACGGGCAGAGGCCTGGACCGCCGGGCAGTGAAAACAGGAAACGTAATTGGTTAAAAATAACAGGGGGCAGGGCGGGGAGCGAGGGAGCAGAATCCCTTCACACCAGATGGCCCCGGGGGGGAAAACGTCCCCACGCGGCCGGGGCTTTCAGCTGCACATTCCAGCGAGTGGAATTTAGCCCACTTGAGCGAGGGCCATTGCCAAGTGTGTCCCTGACGTGAAACGACTAGCTGCCCGTCGGCTCCGATTCCTGCCCCCTCCCCCCGTGTGGGTCAGAGCAGGGTCTTCGTGAAGTTTCAGAAGTGGGTGAGCAGGCCTTCTTCCGAGGTGCCTCTGGGGGGGACTGGGACCTCTGACCTAGTTAGCAGCGGGTATGTTCATTATTTGCCACCAAGAGGAGACCCCATCCTTGATGTGAGAGGAGGGTTCTCCTTGGGGCTCCCCGGGCCTTGGGCACGTGGGCTGTTCTCCTACCAGGCTCCCCATGGCTTAGGCGTGTGTGCTGGTCTCCTGGGGGGCTCCCTGGGGCTTGGGCGTGTGTGCTGGCCTCCTGGGGGCTCCCTGGCCTTGGGCGCATGGGCTGGCCTCCTGGGGGCTCCCCGGGCTTGGGCACCTGGGTTCTCTTTCTCTGGGCTCCCTGGGGCTTGGACGTGTGGGGCTGCTCTTCCTGCCCTGCCCTCCGGCGGAGGTGTCATTCATGAGCTTAGTGACGGGCCTCTGGGCTTCTCCGTCAGAGGGGCTGTGTCCCAGCTGCCTGGCAGGACAGGGAGCCTCCCTGAGCCTCTGTTCCTGTCTGTGACACGGGCCCGCTGACCTCCTCCTCACTGCCCCTGGGGTGGTTTTGAGCCTCAGATGAGAGGAGGCTTCCGGCAAGACTCAGTGCCCCTCTGGTCTCGCCCGGTGGTCTTGCTCAAGGTAGCCCTGGCACCTGTGTGGCTGGCGTCAGGAGCCATCCTGTCAATGCTGGTGGGGCCGGGTCTGCGTGTCGGCCGGCTCCCAGCTCCAGAGCCCACCCAGCACCTGGTTCCAGCCCTTGGCAGCCGAGGGGTCCATAGTCACAGCCTGGTCCCCCCTCCCGTGTCCAGGTTGGTTCCAAGTGATGCAGGGGGGAAGTGACCTGCCCAAGCCCTGGGGTGAGATGTGGCCACAAGGACACCGTCCCCTTGGGAGGGCGTGGTGGTGGTTATCGAGGGGCCCCCAGCTCTGGCTAAGCCCCTTTCCCGCCTCTGCCCCACCTCTTCCCTTTCAGCAGCTGTTCCCTCCCCCGCCTCCCCAAGGACCAGGGTGGGTGAGTATTCTTCCAGGGGGTCCCTGGACGGTGGCGCTTAGGGCAAGGGGCTGAGGTCGTATAGGACCTCGGAGAAGGGGAAGCAGGCTCCCCTCTCTTTCACCCCCACTCTGAGTGCAGAAGCCAGACCACGGGCAGCCCCGTTGCCCGCTTGCTTCTTAGGGAAAGCTTTGGCTTCTCATGGCAGCTGTTGGGGAGTTTTGGGGTGTCTGGGGTGAAAAACCAAAATCAAACCAAACCCACTGCTTTGGAGTTGATTCTGACTCACAGCGCCCCTAGAGGACAGTGTGGAACTGCCCCCGACAAGGTCTCCAAGGCTGTCTATCGCAGAAGCAAAGCCCAAACCACACCCACTAATGTGGAGTCCATTCCATTCACAGCGCCCCTAGAGGACAGAGTGGAACTGCCCCACAGGGTCTCCAAGGCTGTCAGTTTTTGTGGAAGCTGCCTCATCTTTTTCCCACAGAGTGGCTGGGGGTTCAAACTGCCGACCTTTTGGTTAGCAGCCAAATGCCTTAACCTCTGCACCACCAGAGCTCCTTCCTAGGGTGAAGGAAATCCTTGTTTCCCAGGACTCAGGCCAGCTCCCACATTGGTGGCCAATGTCTCTTTGCTGTGTTCTGTGGAGGTCCCTGAGTTTTCTGCCTGTCCCTGCTTTCTCACCAGGTGGCTTTGTGGGGAGGGGTCTTCTTGCTGTGCAGATGCACATGTACTGTGGCAGAGGTCAGGGACTCAGTGATCTTCCTCTAAAGCACATGCCACCAGGTCGAGGCTGCCTGCTTTGCACATGCACACACGTGCACACACACATGCACACATGCATGCATTACACACCTGTGCACTTACACACATATGCACACGCACAGCTTAGAACTTCACTGGGCACTCAGTGGTGCTATGTCAACGTGTGTGGAGTGTACGGTTGGCATGGATTTGTGTCACCTTGGCTGGGCCATTATTGGTGACTTAGCAGTTATGTAATGATGTCACGTGGCAGTTATGTAATGATCCCCATGACGTGATCTGATGTGATGAGCCGATCAGGCGTAAGAGGATTGGGGTGGGGTGTGACACCCTTAATCCCGTCACAGCCTGATCTCCTATAAGGGGAGCTTTCCTGGCGTGTGGCCTGCAACACCGTTAATCTTCCAAGAGAGAAAAGAGGGGAGAAGGGAGCAGACGGGGGACCTTGTACCACCAAGAGAGAAGGTCTAGGAGTGGAGTGTGGCCTTTCCACCCCGGGTCCCTGTGCTGGGACCTTCCTGGGAGGAAAAGACAGAGAGACAGAGTCTCCCCTGGGGCCGGTGCCCTATTTCAGACATCTAGCCTCCTGAACTGTGAGAGAAGCAATTTGTTTGTTGAGACATCCATTGCTGTGTTGCAGCAGTGCTAGGTACCAGGACACCTGCCGACCCGTTTTGGGGTGCAGTATCCCGCCCAAATGTGCAGAGCAACCAGGCTTGTGAGAGCTAGAAGCAGGTGTGTGGTAACGGTTTGCGGGGTGCTGGAACGAGGTTGGCGTGGTTAATTGCTAAGGAAGTCCCGCAGTGAGTGCTGTGACATTTCAGTGCAGGGGGACCGCCTGAGGCCATGCGGGGTGGATTTGATGGCCTGGGGGATTGAGTGAGGAGCAGAGAGTACAAGAAGGTGTGACACGGGGAGGGACAGGGCAACTGAGGGCGCGGCAGGCCGGGGCACCGTGACAGCTCTGACGTGGCCACTGCACAGGCCTGTGAGTGACCAGAAAGGCTGCAGTGAGACCACTGGGGGCTGGGACGCCGCTTTCCTGGGCGCCTTTCCGTGGCAGGGGTAGGGCGGCGGGACCCCCCGTCTGGTCTGTTGGGTCCCTGGACCACCTCACCTGCTGAGACGGAGGAGTGGGCAGAAGGGTGGTGCTAGCTAGCAGTGTCTGGTGAAGGCTGTATCGAAGGGCTGGAATGTTGCGCATGGTGCAGGCATGCATGTGCCTGTGTGTGTACCCATGTGTGCATGTCCTTGTGTACTGCCCATGTGCCTGCTTGCATGAACGCCTGTGTGTGCACCTGTGTGTACTCATGTGCATGTGCAATTGTGTCCACGTGTGTGCCTGTGTGTACCCATGTGTGTGACTGTGTGTGCTTGTATGTGTGTGCCCGTGTGTACTCACCTGTGTGCCTGCATGTGTTTGCCCATGTACATGCCCTGTAAGCGTGCATATGTGGGCCTATGTGTACCGATGTGTGTTCCTGTATGTGTGTGCTTGTGTGTGCCTGCATGTATGTACTCATGTGCATGCCTGTGTGTGCCTGCATGTGTGGGCCCATGTGTACCCATGTGTGTACCCATGTGTGTGTCCATGTGTGCCTGCATGTATGTGCCCATATACATGCCCAGTGTTCTATGTGTTCCATGTGTACTCGTGTGTGCCCCCATGTGTGTGTGTGTATGCCTGTTTGTGTGGCCACGTGCATCCATGTATGTACACCTGGATGCATGTACCGGGCCTATCCTGTGTGTCCCCGTGGGAGCCCATATAGAAGCCAGTGCACCTGTGCCAGTTTGGGGCCATTAGCACACCCAGACAGCCTCTGGCATGCTCTGAGTAGGCTCGGTGGGAAGCACTGTGAGCCCCTGTAAGGGCCAGGCAGGCCTTCCATTTTTCTGGCACTCAGCAGGATAAAGGTCTAGCCCTGGGATCCCAGGTTTGCCTCTAGGCCCTGGTTGCCCCATTCCTTTCCCCACGTTGCCCCTGCAGACATGATTGATGCCCTCATTCCCATATCACAAGCTTTCTGCCAGGGCCTTCTCCTGGCCTCCCCCTGCCACTTGGCTCAGTGCCTCTTCCTGCCTTTCCCGTGGGAGAGGCCCTGGGACTGTACTGGCCTGGGAGGGATGGGAGCTGCTCTTATCTTGGCTGCCAGCAGGGATGGCCTTTTATCTCTCCTTCCCACATGGCCAGAGGAAGCGGTGATGCAGGCGGGCTCGGCAGGCGGGCTCGGCAGCCGCCTCCACAGGAGAGACGCTGTGGGCCCCAGCATTGCACGTGGCCCCCTCCTGCCCTGGGCCTCCCTCAGAGTTGGCTCTTTTGGTTGGCTTTTACGCTTTCGACTTCTTTAACTGTTCTTAGGGGGACGGGTGACTCAGTGGCAGAATGTTCCCTTCCCACACGGGAGACCCAGGTTTGGTTCCTGGCCGCCCCTCATGAGCCGCCGCTACCTGGCTGTCAGGGAGGCGTGTGTGATGCTGTGATACACAACAGGTTTCGGCAGAGCTTCCACACTGAGACCAGGAATAAAGGCCTGGCTGTCTCCTGAAAATCAGCCTACGGCTCAGAATGGTCCCTTCTGCAACCAGTCGTGGGGATGACGCAGGAGTGGGCAGCGTCCTGTCCCATCAGGCGTGGGGTTGTGTCTTGTGTATTCTCGCACAGTTCAGGAGGCCAGAAGTCTAAAATCAGGGCCCCAGCTCTGCGAGGAAGGCTTTCTCTTCCTGTTGGCTCTGGGGAAAGGTCTCATCTCTTTTCAGCATCTGTGGGCTTGGTGACCCGTGTGTCCTGGCATCTGTCTTCCCCTGGGTCTAGGAGATTCTCAGCACAGGGACC